TGTCTAAATTTTTGCTATGTGTGTGTGCGTGTGTGAGATTTTATTTTATCTGGTGTTACATTCAAACAAGCTCTAGCTTTCTTGTAATTTCCTTGTGTTCTTTACAAAAATAAATTCATTCATTCATAAACCTTGAGCATGGCAGTAGTATGCATATATTAAACTATATATGTTCAGAAGTGAAGGATGATTTGGTTGAACTGTATAAAGGTGATTATCAAGTGATTTTTGGAAAATTTGATTCTTTATCATAGTTAGATTGTGCACAATAGACTATTTCGATCTGAAAACATGATATTGGCAATAGAAGGATAATACGGCTCAAGAGAATTAAGTTGAATATTGAATGTATTATTATAATATTGGAATGCTTCATCATATCTATCTAGGTCATAATCTGTATCTGTCATATAATTACAGATTTCACAGATCGAAGAATAATCTATTGAAGGGAAGTAAATTTGATCTGAACCGCTTGTCCAGCTAACCGTCTCCATCTTTTGCTCTTTTTCAAAAAGTTACTGCAATAAAGCTACAAACTAATCTAAAATGGCAACTAGATAATTAAGTAGATTAAACATTTCTCTACAAAATGAAAAGTGTCTCGGCTCCGAACGTTGATTCGTTATGAAAATACAGCTGTTGTACAGACAGCCTCAAAAATCGATTTTCAATCAAAGAAAAACCATGACGTCGTGACACTTTTGACCGTTTTTTGTCACAGCGTCACGGTTTTTCTTTGATTAATACTGATTAATTAGAATAGTTTCGAACTTGATAAGCTGTCGCATCATGTAGAGAGGAAGTGTCATGAAATCGGGATTATTAAGATCCTGTATCAAACCGTCCGAAAACTAATCATCCAAAATCTAGCATGTCTAGATGAATCATTTGCCGAACATGTTGGAATCCGGATGACTTATTTACGGGTGAATTTTTCTCGATCAACTTCGGAAGTTTCTTAAAAAATCACCCAAGTCCGGTAAAAAAATTCTGGATGAGTTTGTCACTTGTAATAAAAAGCAATGCAAATCTGCATGTCATAAACACCTTTTTGCCGACTTCAAGAAACGAAAACATTGCATTGAAGTCTCCATCTAGAATCATAGATTCTACTCAACATTTACGAATGGTTTTGTTTTCATATTAAATTTGACAAACGCCTACGAACAAAGTCTATTCTTATGAAAATCACATGTTTTTTTTCTATAGAAAAGATCTTCAGAATTCTTACATAGTCGGAATCAGCGCGACGAGTTTCGCTATGCGGCGCAAAGATCTTGTCCGAATGCCCATGTCAGGCTGATCTTAGCCATTTAAACTCTTTTGAAGATGGAGAAAGTGCATTTTTATTTGCATAAAATTGTAATAAGCTTGCGATTGATTCATAAACTTCGAACTATTGTGCAGGAAAAAGGTAATAACAACTTGCCAGTACAGTCTTTTAATTAGCAATGGAAACACAACACCTAATACTTTATGAAAGTATCTGAATAGTTCTGAAGTCTATTGTCGCAAAGCTCTCTTCGATTTAACGCTACACACGTCAACAGAAGTTTCGCGAGAGTTTCTTGAAGTTCTGCGAAAAAGAAATTGGCTGCTGCTGAAAGCTTTTGTGAATAAAGACCTTGTATATGTCGACCAAAAAAGATTGACATACAGCTTTCGACAAACTTATCAAAACTCTCACGATTCGATAAAGGATTCTTCGACCTAATGATGCCGCGGTGAGATTATCTTACCATAATATTTCTTTCGAATATTTAAAAAACTCATATGAGACGACCTAGACCTAACCTTAAAATATCAGAAGAATCTTACGATTTATTGTGTCTAGTGCTTCAGAATTTCGGTTCTTGGCGAGGAGATATTCGTAAAAGTGGAGTCCAATCGATTGATCTTTTACCAGCATACTAAAAGTATGATCGAATGTGGAAGAGTTTTACTGCCAAATCATTCTAATTTGGCTTCACTCATGACAATCTTGATGTAACATATTTTTGAAGCATTAAAATATCTTATCCTCAGTATGCTGTGAGCATACAAATATCAAGTGGTTCACATAGCTTGTGGATTGAACTCATCAACAGTAGAGCAGTAAAAATCAAAGAAGACTAACTAAATAAATATGTGCTAAACGAGCAGTGTGTCAAACGAGTGCACTACCTAAAAAATAACTCTAAATTGATAGTAACATTTTGTTATCGATCATGCGGATGGAGAGGTGAAAGAACTCAATTTGGCTTTTTAAAGTGTTTCTGAAATCCGCTTATAATAAAATTATTCGACATTGTATTTGAATGTTTACTAAACTCTCTTCGTTACTATCATCTTATGAAGACAATCGTTCCAAACGCTGCTATTGTTGTTGTGAATTCCGTTTGTCTCGTTCTAAAAATTCAAGAAAGTTCTCAAGTGGATATTGTGTTCCAGTATAATTGTTCAGAAACATCGTACGAACACGTTGAAATGAATATTTCAAATACACAATAGGCAAACTATCACCACTGTGCGTTATAATCCTATGACGAGATGCATCAATTAACCATTGGTCTATTTCTTGAATAAAGAATCGAAAACATTTTGCTTCGCAAACTACTTTCGACGATGATTGATTGATATCACTTTCTTCTCCATCGAAGATTTTTTCCAAGTTCTTTAATTGAATAAATCGTAATAGAAATTAAAAAAAATTAAATGTTTTTCGTCCAAAATTGCAAGCGTTTAATATTGTACTCGTTAATTGTTGTTTTATATTATACTGGATTTTTACTAGCATCATAATTGCTTTTTTTTATAAATATAGTAAATATTTCGCATATATAAAAGAAAGTTTTTTGACGTTCAATGAAAACTTCGTTTGTATAAATACCATAAATACAATCTTTAATGGATGGTAGCTCACCTGTTGTTTTTAGTTTTTCTCGATCTTCAAATATTGAAATAATATTTTCATCTGATAAACAAGAAAATCTATTCAGTTCTGGTCTATTTTTTCGTACCATCAATAATGGTAATAATAAACACCAATCAGAATAGAATATACCATCATGATCACTGTTTTCATTACTTTTTTGACATAACCATTTAAAAACTACGGTTGATAAAATACCATTCGAATGCGGATATGGATACATTTCTTACAATACCAACTGATAATCGATTAATAATTATAAAATTGTGCTTGATAGAAATAATTTTCCCAAATGCAGATATTTAATATCCAAATTATTTATCACAATTATTGTTATTGTATAATTAAAGTTTGAAGGATCAAGTAAATCATGAGTTTTTGAACCTTCAACGTGACCTATTAATACAGTACGATTGTTAAATATAACTGAAAGATTATGTTCGAACAGTGTTGGCAATAGTAAACCTGCGTGTAATCGTACTTCTATAGATGATGAATTTCTTATTTGATAAAATATTGGAATAACTATTCGTCTCTGGGCCTAAGTTGTCGAAATCGAAATTGATATTTGAATTAAATGACTGATAGTCTTTATCATGACAGATACGAACAAACTGTTCGAAGGAATGTTGGTTGGTAACAGTTTTTATGATAGGAGATATATAGCCCACTGCTATATATAAATTGGATGTAAATAATTTTGGACTGATTGTGGATTTGTTGCTCGCGTCATTCTTGTGAAATAATGATGTTTAAACTAACTCATCAGCATCATCATTGACAAAGTCTTTATCAATAAATAGTTTTTTCCATTGAAGTCAATTATTTGTTTCCTGATTATCAGTTTCATAAAATGGAACCAATATATCTTTTAAGTATTCCCAATCTTCGCCTTCATCATCATCCCAAATCAATTTTATATATTTATATTTTTTGTCAGCATTATATCTGTCTTGTACATAATCTTTCGAAAAATGATTAATATTTCCATAATCATATGGTTCTATTTGTTTAAGTTCTTGAACTAATTCTAATCCAAGTTGGTCGTCTAAGTTAATATGAAATTTAAGTGTTTGAACTGCTGTTTCTAATACATCCTTAGAATATTGTTCTAAAATATTGAAATTTTCAATGAAATAATGTGGACAATCACATTTTTCTAATAATCGAATTGCATAATCAATCCACATCTGAGCTAATACTTTGCCAATATCATTATCATTTTCAACATCTAAATCATTTAAATTTTCCCCTTCACACATCCAGAAAACAGTTGTTGCATATAGAAGTTGTTAATAGAACACCTTAGGATAATGATGATTAAACAAAAGAAACAAACAATAACATAGCTATGTTAATGATGTTTAGTGAGTAATGTAAAAGGCAAATAAAAAGAAAAGGACAGAAAGCCTTTCGTTGTTGGCTTTATTCCCCTTGGAGAAACTGTTGTTTTACTGTTGGATGGAGCTACGTCTGTGATTTGTAAGAGTAACTATACGCTGCAAATAACTAAGAACATAGCTTGGATCATTGTATTCATTTTGAGTTTTGCTCCAAGAGGACTTCTGCTAGAAAACTTTTGTGAATTCTTTGATGTCTCGAACATCACATGAAAACACAGTAAACGTTTCGCAGGAAGTATGTATATGTCGGAGTTTGAATCAAAATTCAGTTAAGTTTAAAACTGAACTACGTGAGATCGAATAGTTTCAATAAAAAATACGCAAAATCAAAATTTCAACGTGAGCTAGTTTATTTTAATACTTAACCGACGGGAAACGTATTTCTACGTGTTTGTTCACACAAACGTTATGGACGGATAAAGTAGTTTTACGTTTTTCGCTTTTACTTGTTAGTCAGGCGACATTCAATTTGTATACTGTATAGAGAAGTCGAATAGTCATTTCTATTGCGTATCTGACGTTGTGCAATTCGTTTATCCATTTGAAATTGGCTTACTTGTACGCTTATCAAGATGGAATTAAATAATGAAATTTTCGATAAGTTCTTTGCGGATGAATTATCAGATGTGCCAAGTGATAACGAATTTGACAATTCTAGCCACGAACTCGATATCGAAATTAATGAAAACAGTAGTGATAGTGAAGATGAAATCGTTGTTTATGGAAAAAACCAAAACGATTAATTCAAACAAAATTCAAAAATGAGAAATATTCCACAAGCACCAACTCTAGTTCGGTTTTCCGTAGCGCGACTAGAAACTTTGAAAAAACGTTTTGTTCAAAAGTCTTCAGAAAACAGACAACAAAGGAAACTTTTTGCTTGTTTTAAATATCCGTTTTTGTTGAAAGTGCAACGCTTACAGAAAGGAATCAGATAACATACTCAATGCGTTTTGTCTCACGGAGAGTCAAAATTGGGTATAGTCGAAAATAGGTTCCAGTAAAACGCCCGTCATCTGAACACCTGTACGCAATTTCAAAACTTTTTTATACATTGAATAAAAACAAAAGTGCTTTTTCCTTGAGGATTGCCCAAGAAGTTAGTTATCATAAACTGTACTAAATAAATGTAACTGAACTATATTTGTTCAGGTTTTGGGAGCAAAATAACTTACGGCAAGATAAACAATTAATTATAGCTATTTCGCGTTTCTTTTTTGCGCTCGAGCCTGAAAAAATTTATAAAGTTTAAGTTTTCAAAGAATTTCTTATTGATATTGTGAACGCGATGACCCAAATATATTTGGAGTTTGATAATCTGACTTGGGTGGTTTAGATATGCAACTCAAATCATAATCTGGATTTATTCTCTACTTGTACTATACTGTGTGATTGGCAAACCACTTTCTCTATTAACACTGTAATCTGGTAATAGGTGACCAAATTTTTCTTATCACTGTGAATAAATTGCAGATAATTCGGTTCTGGCGCACCTGGATCGTCAGCGACTTCTGAAAATAATCCACAAAGCAAATATCCAATTGTAATGTCAGCAAAACTAAAAATAATACCGTCCAGTATACTGTCAACTATAGTTTCAATACCAGGCACAATGCTCCCTAAAGCAGCTCCAATAGTTGCTCCTCCTCACGAACCAGCTAAATTACATAAAGTAATAGTTGTTGACTTTCCAAATTGATTGCTTGATAATCGGCTATGGATCGAAAACAATACCTTCGTAGTGAAATACACTTTTAGTATGCTGACTACATATAAATTGAAGTATAAGCTCCTTTCTGAAATCTATAAAATTCTTTGTTTACTTCCGTTTTTAATATTTTCTCTGATTCCGGAACAGGGGCAACCACAGCATTATTTTGCATTATCCTAAATTATAATTTTGCTTTGAATATTATAAAGTTACGATATTTAGATAAATTTTCTCCTAAAGAGAAAACTATTTATGCGGTTTATCTTTTGAGAAAAATGCTTATTTCTTATGTTATTCTCTTTAAAGAACAAGTAACTTTCATTTCGATTTATTCATCCCTTGACGTTAAATCACAACTACCATCTTTTTCTCACTTAATTTAGTTAAGTAGTTACTGAGTGCAGACCACCGATGGCAAGTCCAAATCCGGACTGGTAGACTGTTTCTCACGGACTGAGACTGATTGGGACTTAGCCTCTACTGGACTGGGATTGAAAAAATACCGGACTTGTCCATCTCTGCTTTCGTATAGAAAAAGGAAACGAAAAGTCCTGTCTTGTTCTTGTTTTTCAACATTCAAAAAAAGTTTATTGTTGTCTTTTTTTGTTACTAAACACCATCGATGGCATCAGCAACGACTATTGACACCAGTAAGTGGTGACAAGAAGAGCTATTGACACCACTAAAGGATGTCAGCAAGACCTGCTGACACCAACAAGCTTAGACGCGGTAGGAAGAGCTATTGACACCTCTATGCTTACGAGGGAACATTGCCAGATGTCATCTCCTGTTTTGACTCATTCGATTTCAATCGAAAGAGTATATCAAGATAGTAAAAAGCCTAAAAAGATTTTCCTCCATGGCTCTTGAAGATCAGGTTTTTTGGAAAACTAATTTTTCCGGAACTCTAAATAGTAACCAAAACTTTTCTTAATGAGACATGATTTTAGCCCACAAATGTCAGATTAAAATGAGGGATCACTTAGCTCTACACGACCTTTCTTTGCAGAGTTATAGAGTTTACAAGAAAAGCCCTTTATTTCTTCTTATTTTTGAAGCTTGGAGCTGACAATGAACATTTTAAACAACTCATTAAGTAGTGAATTGAACTTTAAGAAGTTTACTTGGATTAATGTAATTAGCAGTATTCACCATGAAGAAAGCATTTCTTAGAGTTGAACCTAGACAATAGTATGTAAAATTCAATTTTGAATTTTCAGTTTCTTCATTCTGTATATATTTATATATTTATATATATATATACCCACTGCAGCTAGTATTGAAGCGGGTAAGTGGGTTTGTCTCGCTGCAGCGAGCTACACCAGCTAAATTTTACTTTGAGTTAGCTGCAGTCAATGGAGAAGCTGACGCTTCTTCAGCAAGTGCGGCTACTTATTTCTTGTTAAAATTTCATGCTTGAGCACGAGTAGGATAAGCACAATTGCTAGAGATGCTTGGTATTATTTAGATTATGATATGTAAAACAATTATGAATCTTTTTCTATTGAATGAATTTGGCTAACGTTTCATATTTCGTTCTTTTTCATTATACTCATTTCCAGACAAAAAAATCATCACTTTACTTTATGCACTTCAACTTGTTTCTGGTACGAGCTAGCAAAGTAGTTCTTTCGGACGCGATGAAAACAAATATTACGTTTTTCACATCGCTGTTTGAAATTGAACTCTATCAGCTAAGGCTGGCTTAGACTTTGTTTAGATGCTAGTGAATTGTTTTGGGCACCTGACCACTAGTCATTATATACTGAATTGTTTTCTTGTCGGAAATAAACACCTACCCACAAAAATTTTCTCATAGCTCCAAACATCCATCCATACTGTCATCAACATAGGTAACGTTTCTTATGTAATTCCTGAAACTGATCCGAAGGCTTAGGAGATACTGTTATGTAGTCGAAATCTTGTGAAAACGGCAAATTTTTATCCCACAATCTATCCTCTTAGCGAGAACATCTCAAAATGTTCCGATTACCACTTTGTTAACATTTACAGAGGACTTACAAAGTTTAGCTCCTACATAAGCTACACTAACAAGCTTTTTTTATAATGTCGAATAGGGAAATGTTTGCTCTGTTTACTAAGAAGGATTACATGCAGTTAGAAGATGATTCAGAACTCTAAATTATAAGATGCTTTTTGATTGCAAGACTGATTCAGATTTGATTTTGACCATAACTTCAATAATGAGTTTTTACAAGAGGAAGATATCGAGAGTTAATAATAACGTTTTTCGATCTACAGTATAATTGACGGTAGTGGCACTCTCTCTCACTTCTTCCATTAGAATAGAAGAAGGTTATCAAAATTAAGTGTATATCAGCCGAAAAATTTCAGTTTTCTTAAAATCTAAATTATTCATATACAAAAAATCAATATTACATGCTGATTCAGTCAATCTGTGAAAAGATGAACTCCATAGTGAAGACAAATAAATTAAAATCTATAATATTGATATGATAAAATCCCTGACTTTTTCATCCGTTATATGGAGGTGGACAATCTGATATAAACTCAATTGCTAGTAATACTTGACCACCAGGACTCCCATCTTTTCTGTGTAATGGTAACCATTTTTCCGATTGACCTTGATCTTGATCAAGCAAAAATTTAACACTGACTTCGGAACTGCCTAATAGCTTACCTCGATTTCTGAATACATTTTTATCTAGTACCCACATGTTGACTTTATCGTCCGTTGTGTAAATGTTAAATGAAAACGGTCCATCTATTGCCCACGTCGGGGATTTTCCGCCTTTATCGTGCACATTTGTTGCATATCTTTGATGATTACATTCAACAACAGCAAATGGATTATTTTTGAACGGAAACCGATTTCCATCTAGACCATGAGCTCGTTGCACTGAAATTATCAACTGACCAATAACACTATTTTGTAACGAGGTATATGGTGGCGGTTGAGAAAAGTAATCCGATTTATCCACCATCGATGAAGGAGATTGCTCAGAGATAGCAATAGGCTGAATAGACTGATCTTGTAAAACATTGTTATTGCTGATGTTATTCTTCCACCATTCTATTATCGGTTCAAGACCAGCAGTTAGAACTCGTTCATCCAACTTACTAACAAAACCCCATTCAGCAATTTGGTCAATACTATCGGCAAATTCATCAGCTATACTAAACAAAAAATTGAAGTTTAGAATTTAGAGAAACAAGTGTATTGTACATACTCTAGCATGCTATTCACGCTTTTAGTTACGTAATCTGCTTTTAGCATCCTATTGATAATGATGATGTGCTTAGCCGTTAGTCTAATTGCCAATAACGCTATGCTATTGTACAACCTCAGTATTAACCGAACAGCAACGTGCTTTTTTAAATAACGTACCTATTTGTACTTTTAACATCAGTTTTTTCTTTTGCACATTTGTTCGTTATGCTTTATTGAATCAATTAATCATGTTATACATCGTTTCTATAACTTTGATGACTTAGTCAGAAGAAAATATGCACTCAGCTATATAATTTTGCCTAGTGTCTCTCATTCTGTAGGAATATCTGGGCATGAATATGAAAGGGTCTAATATTTTCTCCTGTGCAGTATAATCAATTAGGATCAACTCTAAAGCAGCATTTACCTTTTGCGTTTCGAAAATCGTTATGTCAGATATAATTGTACAACTCTTTTTTATAATAAAATCAGAAGAGTGAAGCGCAAATGAAGAATAAAAAAAGAAATTTAAAAAGAAACTTTTGATCGAAAAATAAACAAAGAAACAAAAATAATGTATAGTGAACGACCTTACAGTTAGGTTCTAGGATGGCTTTGATGTAACATCTAGAAATGAAATAAAATAAAAATAACATCAAAAAAGAAGTGGAAATTGCATCAAAATTTAATTAATCAGTAGATCCATTAAGTACTGGTCTTGATTAATTGATGTTAAAAATTGATCAATACATAGTGTATTTAATGCTGCTCAGGACACCGAAAATGGTGTGATTAATTGACAATTAAATGCCATTTAATACGCTATTCATAAGCGTTAATAACGTACCTATTTGTACTTTTAACACCAGTGTTTTCTGTTACACATTCGTTCGTTATGCTTTATTGAATCAATTAATCATGTTGGTATAAACTTTATCTGAAAAAGAAAATCTTAATACAGATCGAAATCGCGATCCAATGGATCACATTATATCAGTTTGCAAAGGAGTCTTAATGAACGGATGAATAGAAAAGTTAACAAAGAGACATACAAAAATGAAAGAAGAATTGGAGAGAGGAAGAAAAAGATTGATCGTCAGTTGCAGAGGAATATGATTAAGGAAGAGAATATGATAAGAGATGTTGAAGAGTAGAGTAGTGGTGGTGATCAGATGACCCTGCGGACAAAGACAGAGAGACGGCTTCTAATTAATTCGTACAGACATGAGATAGGAATGCATCAGCTTCGGAATCAAAATGCGGCAAATCCGGTAAGACACATAAAAAGCATTTAGTATCCGAGATAAAATCACATATACAGTCATAAACAAAGAGAAATGTCTTTTTATTTGAAATACCATTCAAGAGAATAGTATCCAAGTCTAGTTTTATGCCCCCATTATGGAATTTTGAGAATAAAATATTTCGTGCATGATTATAATGAGGGCATTTAAGGAAAAAGTGTTTCGTGTCCTCAACTACTTGAACGAAGGGTGATAAAAATAAGCAGTTTTCGCAAAGATTTTCGGAGACAAGTTTATGCTGCTTTAGATGATGATTTAATGCAGAGAAATCGACTCTTAGTCGACAAAATAGCGCATCAATTCTCCGATTCAGCAGACAAGGTAATTTGTTAGCAGGAGGTAACAAGTGGTTTTTAACTTCTATGCGGAATTTATAAGGTTTCGATTTATTTTGAATGTCAGGTCTTTGTGAAAGAAGTACGGTCCATTCTTTAGTAGCAGTTGGAAAGAAAGAATTCTGGAAGAAAACACTCTTGTCTCTATAATCATACAGTTGCTAGCTGCTGTTGTTTCTTAACGAATATTTCGTGTTCTTTGGTTCAGTAAACTGAAAGTATTGATTGGGTGTCCTAATTAGTCCAAAGTAATATTTAAAAAACATGCACATTCTATTGGCAAAGAACAAATTAGAAAATGGTAACCAGCCTTGATCCTTGAGCAACTTTATCTTCGAGGTACCTTTCATAGCCCCACTCACAGTCAGACATAGTTGATACTGACAACTCTCGAGTCTCAAAATATTTCTCTGTGTAGTTAACGAGTAAACCTCACTTCCGTAGTTCACTACAGATTGGGCAACAAATTTATATACGCAATTGAGCGCAGCACGATTGAGATTCCATTTAACAAGGCGCATATACTTATGAGTTAAATTAACTTTGCCGATAACGTAGTCCACATTGGAATTCCAAGAGGGATTAGGAGCAAAAAAATAGTCCAAGATGCTTATGGAGCGTTACTTCCTTAATCGGTTGCTGTTGGATTATTAGAGGAGGAAAAGAATTCGAAGTAATTGCTCGTTTTTAGAATAGCTAAGCTTCACATTTATCAATATTTAACCCTTTGGCTCCGGCGACACATAAATGCGTCTAGCTGCAATTATTGCATGATCATAATAGCTAGAATAAATGAAAAAAGATTTGAATAGCTGAAAGAATTTCCGATCTCAGGTGGTGTATACAAAGGCTCTATCAAAACTCCTGAAATCAGAGTCTCTGGAAAACTCAAATCTCAGAAAACCAAGTCCCAGAGTTCGATCCCGAAATTCTTTGCAAATAAGTCTATCGTGTAGAGCAAACATTTCTGAAGAAATTGAGACGTCTCCGAGCTGTTTACGACATTTTCTCATGGAGCAAGAATCAATTTACAAAAGGCCCTAAGGAAGCATCTTCTTGTTTTTCCATTAGTTTTGCTGCTACGGGGCTTTCCGTAAATTGAATGCTGCTCCATGAGAAAATATCATAAGGAGCTCGGAGGCGTCTCATTTTCTTCAGAAATGTTTGCTCTACACGATAGACTTATTTGCAAAGAATTTCTGGATTGAACTCTGGGACTTGGTTTTCTGAGATTT